GTAATATAGGAAAATAAGGAGTATAATGCCACATTGGGTGACTAGTAATAGTAACACAAATGTAATTAGAAACTGTATATTAATTGCTCTGTAAAAAGGCGTGAATCATGACTAATAAAGTTTCTACGTTTGGCAATATAAAAAAAAAAATAAAAAAAAAAAAAAAATAATAATAATAATATTTTTAAAGATTCAAATAATAAAGTAACAGAAAATTTAATTAATAAAGAAAAATTAAATACTTTAATTAATGATTTAGAAGATGAGGAAGATTATAATCTAAGTGAAATAGCACAAAAACATTTTGATGATATTAATAATATTTATTATTATTAAAATTAAATAGTTATATTTTATTGATATTTAATTTTATATTATATAAGTATTGCCAAAAGAAAACCCAACAATTTAAATATAATCTATATTTAAATTGTCAAGTTTTCTTTTGGCTACACTCATATATATTGAAATTTTTTTCTTGAATAATTAAGGTTTTTTTAATCTTAAGTATATATAATATAAATTTTTTTATTTTTTATTTTTTTTCGGTATTAAAGGTGACCTCTTTGTCAATGGCAATTTATTATCATTAAGTTTTATTTCGATATACAATGAGAGTACATATAGTCACACATGCACCTTTTAAGTACCTAATTTAAATAGTCCGCCCAAAGGTTCTACACTATCTGCCGTACCTGTATCCCAACTAGAGGGATACTCATTTAAACCCTCTGATCATATCCTTACTTCCACTGTGTGAGATTTAAGACCCGGATGTAACCTCACTATGTGCTACCAGGGCGTCATGGATCTATACAATACCACTAGATTAACAGCCAAACTTAGGATGGGACCGTATGTCCTGATTTATCCTTGAGGTAAACCCGCCAGAGTGATACATTCCTATATATGTATTCACCTAGATTTCAGTAACTTATGCCATGCCTTAATTTATGTACTTGGGGTCAGAGCATAATTATTAAACTCCTACTGTTACCTACTTCACCCTTTTAAGGTTCACAAACCTCTATACTATATTCTATCACTTTCCACACCTTACTCCTTTTGGTATCTTCATTCTCCCAATCAAGCTGGCCCAGAAGGATTGGTCTGCCCAGACCTGAGTTTCTCAGGTTAAGTCTGAAGGTTTCCCAATCCTTGGTCCACAATTTCATAACATGTAACCTTTTCCTCTGGATAACCCAGTAGCCTGGTTGGTAGATTCCTCTTGCCTGTAAAATCTTTGTCGCACAACTTTTCCAATTTTTGGGGTCCAGTTGGATCTGTCCTGTAGTACAAGTTACATCTAGTCAGAACAGTCTCCTACTTCTTTAATCGGGATTTGCCAAGCCAGTTTTGATTTTCTCAGACTACTATAAGTAGGTCTTAATAAGATTGATCAGAACACCTTATTATGGGTTTGCACTGCCTATATCAGTTTGCATTTCTTTGTGCAATGATACAAATGCATCTATGTCTTTCAGTGCTAACTCAGGGCATTGGTGTGCTCTGGTTTACAGATATATGAACCCAGCCTAATTTAGAGGAACCGTTATCATGACACAAGTAAATTATTTAAAATGTCACCAGTGAGATTCGAACTCAGTACTTAGCCAACAAACTTGGGAGTGCAACAACTCTACCACTACGCTATGTCGCCACACCTATATAAATTTTTTTATTGTCCGAAGTGTAGCTGAGGACACTATACTTCTAGATATTGCCCACATGACCGACGTCTGTCACGCCGCGTACCTAACCAATCAGAATTCTTCTGCATACCTTAATACGCGACAAATGTGTTATACATACCTCTATTACTTTTTGCTATTGTCTAATTTGATCCTCTTTATTATTACAATCTAGCCTCATGTACTTTTTATCTTTATTACTAAACTCTCTATCTTGATAAAATTAATGTAGACCGTCTTCAAGTTTGTCCCGAATTGAATATTCTTCGCCATATTGGGAGTTCACTATATCGTAAGTACCTTGTATCCTCTATATAAAAATGCCTATCTGTAAACGTTTCAGATTGACTACTATTAATAAAAGTGTGTAAGTTTTCTTATTTGCATAGAGATTTGATATCTCTCAGAGATCCTTGACTCTTACCCGTTGACTACCCAGTATCCTGAGAACATAACTATCTTATCAGAATTTGAGTTGTTAATGCATTGGGTTTAACTATTCCTCAACCTATTCCAACTTGCGTTGGGTTCACTTCAGAGCAGCTTCAGCTTTGCTTAAAGTTGCTCCAGTTCACTTCAACTTGGGTTGGGCTTATAGATGGAGGTGAAATTCAGTTTTAATTTTTTTATTTTCAACAATAATTTCACTAAAAATTTCAACATTTTTAATATTTTTATAAATTAAATATAAAACAACTCTTGTATTTTTTTAGTTTTACTTAATTTTTTATTAAATTAGTTTTTGATATTAAAAAATTAATTTCACCAATTTTAACATTAGATAATTTCACCAATTTCGTCAACAATTTTTCATTAAGAAAACTAATTGTACCGCCATCTATAGTTGGGCTTCTTCCTGAACTGCTCTGGAGTATGCAGCCTGAATTCTACACCCCGTAAGTTATTTTCTATTGTGTACTTTAGTATTACTTAATTGCTACAATATTGAATTTTTTTTATTTTTATTTTTTTAAAAAAAATCGACTTTTCATTGATCATGACTATTACATATTCTTCGCTTTTTATAGCAATTACGAGAATAACTATGCGATGATTCAAGCTAAAATGAATAAATAAAATTTTATGCCCAAAATCTAATTCCAATTAAATAATTAACTCAGCGTATTAAATGTAACCGTATTTGTTATTCTTGAAATTTTAATTCTGCGATTCTTAGAATTGTGCTCTTCAATTACAATCTGCACTTCTAAGTTTCACGATTTTGATCATTGTTAGCTATTACCTTTTTGCCGTGCCCCATTTAATTTTCTAGAAAAAACAATTATTAGTAAAAGCGTAATGCCTGACAAACCACTACTCGATTACCACTTCATTCCACATAAATACTGATGTATTTACTACCAAAATAACCTTTCGACGCAAACTATTGCTTGAATCTCCTTTTATGTTTTGACGTTTTTATGTTATCAACCCTTTTTTAATATTCAAATAAAGAATGTAATTTAAAGTTTTATCATAGCAAATGTGTTAAAAATATGAAAATATGATGTACTGTACATTACTAATTAAAATATATTTCATGCCCCGGATAACCCGAGAAATTTCAAACGTTATTGCGTATTAGATTTTGTAGATTCTTATAAAAAAACATAATTCATAATCAATTTAACCATTATATTAGAATCATTACGCAGCTTCTGATCAACAGCATGTCGTCATACTTTGCCTTTGCTTCTGATTTATTACTTTGTATTTATCGCATTAACAAGAATCCAAAACTAAAAGTAAAAAAAAAAAAATGATTAGTGGTCAAGTTCAATTATCTACCACACTTAGACAACGCAAAAAAAGGGAGAATGAAACTCCAGAACAACGTGAATTGCGTTGTGAACGTGATCGCAAAAATAAAAAAAGGAAAAGACAGTTAGAAACTGATGAACAACGTGAAGCACGTTTAGTTAGAGAACGTGAGCGAAGAAAAATTAGACGCGTTATAGAACCTGTTGCTGACCATACGGATCATCAAGAAGAAATTGCTGAAATCATTTCTGACAACACTGAATCTGAAATGATTTCTGTTCTCATTGAGTCAGACCCACTTTTATATAGTATCTTAAGTGTTCAGCCATTGTCAGAAGCTGACCGTGAGCTTCTACAAAAATTTCGAGATGAAATGAATAATCTCAAACATGATTTGTGTCCAGTATGCCATGAACGTTTCCTATCAATAAACCTTTTCAATAGAGAATGTCGTCGCTGCTACAATGACAAGAATGAGTTAAAAAAGTTCTCTTTAGAAAATAATATGAATCCAGGCGATGCACCTGAAGAATTAAAAGGCCTTACTGAGATTGAGGAGATGTTAATAGCACAAATTTTCCTGTCATTTCAGTTTATTATCTTCATGGTGGCCAATACGCATATCATGGAAACGTTATAAACTTTCCTCAAAACATAAAAGAGTTTGTTACAAGACTTCCCACAACTCTTCTTCTTTAGACATACTTATTGTGCGTCGTCAATCTGCAAGAGGATCATCGTTTAGGGATTTTAATGTTTGCAGAACTAAGATTGAACGTGCACTTCAATGGTTAAAAGAAAATAATCGTTACTATACTAATATTGATATTGACTATGAGGTGCTACAATCTTTACCTGATGATGGCCCAATCGACAATCAGCTTCCACAACTTCAAGAGGATGATGTAAATGATGTAAGTGAAGATTATTTGGATAATGATAATGATAATGAAGAAACTATCACACGTAACTTTGTACCTACTCCTGTCCTATCTCATAATGAAGATCGCGCTATTACTGATGCTCTTGCTCGAATGCAAAATGAAAATAATCTTGCAATAATGTGGCCTAATATAGACAGTCATCCTATTAATAAATTTAACACCCTGGGGTATATTGTTCGTGCTTTCCCGTCCTTATATCCAACAGGCAATGCTGACCTATATGCAGAGCATGTCAGAGAAGTCAAACCAGCAGAATATTTCCAGCATTTACTTAAATATAAGGATGGGAGATTTGCTTGTCACACCCGATGGCGATATTTCACGCTAAATTCCCAAATGAGATGGAGAGCATTGCAGGAAGGGAAGGTATATGTTAAACAAAGCTTAAGTAGTAGACAACTTACTGTTGAAGAAGTCCAGGAAATAGTCAGGGGTGATATTCATATGGTTAATCGGGTTATACGTTTTGGCGAAGAGTTGTGCGGAACACGACAGTTCTGGAATAAACAACACTTTGAGCTGTTAGATATGATCAAACAAATGGGATCGAACGGAATGATATTTTTTACTTTTAGTGCAGCTGACTTACATTGGCCAGAGCTTCATAAGCTCATGCCACATAGTGAAAATCCAGTCGAGGGTGAATCTGAACAAGAGAAAAGCAAGCATCGACGCCAAGACTTAATCGAAAACCCTCATATTGCCGCTTGGTTTTTTGAGAAACAGTTCAAAGTTTTTTTTGAAAATGTATTAATCTCTAAATGGAAATTGGAGGATTGGTGGTACAGATTTGAGTGGCAACATCGAGGTAGTTTCATGTATATGGCATCGGAAAAATGAAAGATGTGCCCGAGTTTGAATGGAAGAGTATGAAAGAAAATGAAGAAGCATTGGCACGCATGGTACAACATCTTGATTCAATAGTTACTACAATTAATCCAGGAATTGATACACCTGTACCTGATCGTCATCCCTGCCAGAAGAGTCCTGATGAATTATGTTATGACCTACAGAATTACATTGACCTTGTTAACAAACTACAACGGCACACACGTTGCAGCCCTTCATACTGTCTTTGTACAAATAAAACAGGTCAACAATATTGCCGATTTGGATTTTCTAAAGATAACGTAGAACGTACTTTTATACATGATGATAATGGTAAACTGGAGCTTATCACATCACGAAATAATCCTTATATTAATCCACATAATCGGCTTCAACTCCAGGGTTGGCGTGCGAATGTTGGCGTGCGAATGTTGACGTAAAACTAATTCTTAATATTCATGCTGCCCTACAGTATGTAGCAAAATATGCAAGTAAATCAGAGCCACGATCCACAGCTTTTTCAGAAATATTAAGCAAATTCTTCGTGAAAGTAATCCTTCAGACTCTTCTCTTAGTTCGTTTCAAAGATTATTACTACATACTGTTGCCGAACGTGATATCTCTGCACAAGAGACATGCCATCTCCTCCTTGGCATCCCCTTATATTATTCCAGCTGACAATTTGTCACTTTAAATCTCAACAGGGAAATGCCACGGTGGCTACGTGGCAATGGAAGTGAAAATTTTGTCCCACCCGGTGAAGTTGGGAAAACAGAAAGTTCACCTTTGCAAAAGTATTGGAGCCGACCTATTGAGCTTGAGAACCTTTCACTCTTTCAGCTCTTTTTAAATTATAAACTTTACAATGGTCAATGGAAAAATGTGAGCGTGAAAATATTGTGCGCATTTGGCCAAGACCATCGTCTCAATGTAACAGCCCTCAGTGGGAAGAGTTTTGCCATATAAAGGTCTTACTTCATATTCGTCACCGAAGCATTCAGCAGCTAATGGAAAATGATACTCTTTCTTGGTCAGAACTTTTTAATTGCAATCTTGCAGAAATAGAAGGTGAGCTTACTGATTTACTCGGTCCATCTCTTGATAACCAGGAAGATGAGACTGCAAATGAGGAGGAACAAGAAACCTATGAACGTGAAGAAGAGATACGATCAGACTGGATGATCTTATCAGAAATGGGCCCGAATATGTTAGTTGATAACTCTTCCGACTTAGGTTTGTGTGACATTGACAGAAATTACGACTGGGTTGGTGATAGAAGAATTTATCCTAATTTCATTCTTGCTAATGCTCCTACTTTTGTACAGCAAGCTTGTACCAGAGATGCAATCAATGCTGAAAATTTAGTCCCAGATAATGTAGATTGTCGCACTTTGAATGAAAACCAGATGAGGATATTCAAGCGAATAGAATCACATTATAATGATATAATTACAAGTCATAGCCTTCCTGAACCACTTGGAATTATTATCATGGGGACTGCTGAAACAGGTAAATCATATCTAATTAATATGATTCTTAAAACACTTAAATTGATAGCAAGAAACCATAGTATTGAGAACTCGCCTGTGATTGTCCTTGCACCAACTGGGGTTGCAGCTTTCAACATTCATGGGGAAACTATCCATTCAGCTCTCATCATTCCAGTAACTGGCACCAACTTTGATATAGCTGATGAACGTTTGAAAATGCTGCAAAAAAAATTAAACGGTGTGGTTTATGTCATAATCGATGAAAAAAGTATGGTGGGACGTCGCATGCTTGCCTTAATTGACATGCAACTACGTCAGGCCTTTCCTGAATATCAAAATCAACCCTTTGGTAGTCAATCAGTCATTCTAGTTGGCGATTTTGGCCAACTCCCACCAGTGCTTGATTATCCCATGTACGCACAAAGCCTTAGTCATGACCCGTTATCAAACGATGGTATTGCAGCGTATAAGCAATTTTGAGAGGTTTATCAGCTTGATGTTGTTCAACGTCTGTCCGGTGATTTAGATGAGCAACGTAATTTTAGAAACATTTTGCTGCGGTTGCGTAATGGTGAATCCACATTTGACGATTGGAGAGTGCTTGCCACACAATTCAATGGTTCATCAAGCATACAGCCAAGGGAGTATGAACAATTTTCAGATGCCATACATATCCTGCCTCGGAAAGTTGACGTTGATGAAATTAATATTGGTAAACTTAGATTGTTAAATCAACCCATTGCTAGAATTCACGCTGTTCATACAGGTAGTAAAGCATCTAAGGCTGATTCAGATATAGCAAAAGGTCTTGAAGCACAACTGCTGTTGACCAGAGGTGCGCGCGTTATGCTCAAGGCGAATTTATGTGTAGAAGCAGGATTAGTTAATGGTGTACTAGGAACGGTCTATGATATTCTATTTGAAGACGATCAGGGCCCACCTTCTCTTCCTATTGCTGTCTTTGTAGAATTTGATAATTATACTGGGCCTGCTATTGAATCTACAGAACATAAGAAACTTGTCCCAATTCCACCTATCCGACGTACCTGGGAAACAAATACAATGACTTGCTCACACTTACAAATTCCTCTTACTCTTGCATGGTCTATCACTGTACATAAGAGCCAAGGGCTTACATTACCAAAAGCTGTGATAGATCTTGGTTAAAAAGAATAGACCGCTGGTCTCTCGTTTGTGGCTGTATCTCGAGTTTGTTCCCTTAAAAATATTCTTTTTGCTCCATGTTCACTCAAAAGACTCCAACGAATCAAGAATTGCAAAAGACTGAAAGAGAGAAAGGCTGAAGAAGAGCAATTAATCTCTTTAAGTAAAGCTTAAGTCACATACGTAAACATATAGAACACAACAGATTACTTACCCAATTAGTTTTGCGAAACCTATTTCTCAAACTCAAAATGCTAAAATTTAGAGTTCTAGAATACTTGAATATACAGATCGTATAACTGTATAACGATCAAATGTGTCTGATCAATTACCCGATTAAATGCTTTAAATTGTGGCTTGGTGGCTTTATAATTTGCTAGTAATATTTCAAAAAAATAAATCTATCATATTCTAACCCGATTAAGTTAAATTATCTTCTTTTTTAGGCATGCAAAAAATAACATATGTAATAAATGGTAGCCTGGTAGGTAAATCCTATTTATTGTATGGGTACGTATACGTAGAATACCCCAGTTACACATACCGTGCTTTTGATAATTTATATGTAACGTAACAGATAAACTTTACACCCTGCTCTTATTACTACAACTACATATATTATAAATTTTTTATTTATTTTAGTATATATCAGTTCATGTTTTTTTTTTAGATTATATACTTTCTTTTTGCTTCGGACTCCTAACAGAGCCTGTTTTCTAGTATAATATTACATATTTTATATTATTATAATATTTTATTATAGAATTATTATTCCTTATGCCACTGGTTAAAAATAACCACCTCTATTAAAATTTAAGGTTAGAGTGCAGCTTTTAGTTAAATAGAAGTTTTTTATACAAAATAGTTTTTTATATAATATAATATAGATTTAATCTAAGATTCTGATCTCAGTTCTCAGGGTCCTGAACATTTTTACTTAGAATACCTAATCTTGTTTACTTAGTATGTTATTAAGATATAGCATACTGGTTATCCTTAACCACTGGTACAAGTTAAAAATGTTTTTTATTATATTATTATTTTTTAATATATATATATATTTATTAAATAAATACAAATTAAAGTTTTATTATGAGTTTTGGGGTTTCA